ATTTGACAAGTATAATTGAGAACCACCTGGAGACTAGCTGAACAGAACTTCTTTAACTCAGGATATAGAGAAGTCTGTTGTGGGGATGGGATATGCAGAACAGGCTGGTCCCACATCCACTTGTGACAATTAAGAATCGGAGTTACATCTCAGCTATGGAGGTTCCCATTGAGGAGCAAGTAGTCCCAGTCCCACACTGGGCTCCTCATCCCATTGCAGCAATGCTGGAAAGAGGAGTCCCCATAACTTCTTGCTGTGAAAACTAGAGGGCTACTGGAGACCCAGGCATTCCTCTTGAGGGGCCCCAAACAGACTTGCTCACTTGAAAACTCACTCATTCTTGTCCCCAACACAAAAAGTGCAAGGGATATGGGAAGAACTGAAGAGTTAGGTCTGGAGGGGTGGGGATCAGGATGGCTCTCTCTAGGGACAGAATTGCTGTTCCTTTGTTGAGCCCTTCCATCTCCCGACCAGTAGGCATATGCCAAATCTGAGCTCTCCATTAACCTGGCTAACAGTTTTCTCCACCCTGGTAATTTCCTGAGATCTCACCTCACTCAACTTGCATTCCCAGCAAGAACTGCTTCAGTGGATTTTCCAAACTAGAGGCCTTCCTCAGCTCGTGCTGTGGACTTTCCTAAAATCTCTCAAAGGTCCCCAGATAAGCAGTGGCTGGCCTCATCATGTCTTCTACCTGTTGCTAAGTCGCTCCAAGCCTGATGCAAGTGATGAAGGGTCTCAGTTTTCACTGTCATTCCCAACTGTGAGCTGCAGCCAGTGTTAGCTCAGAATGTAGCTTCAACCAAGCGGGCACAAACCTGGCATAAGTGACAGCTGATCTCAACTCATGTTGTGATGCTCATCAAAGGGTTCAAGCCTGGCACTAGTAACATCTGCCCTCGGGTCACAGCATAGTCCCTCCAAAGCAGTTCCAGAACCAACACACCCGGTGGCCAGCTGCAGACCACACCAGCACACCACCTAACCAGCTGCACAAATGACACACCCTAAGGGTAGATTTCATTGGCACCACAGTCCTGCTAAAGTGACTTCCACTCTATTGTGCCAGCCCCCACACAGTAGCTTTTCTGCTGCAGTCATGGCCAGCCCTCATTGTCAGTCAGTCAGTCAATACCACCCACTGACGTGCCAACAGCAATCAAGGCTCAACTACAGCAGGGGAGCACACACAACCCACACAAGGGAAACAACTGGAGCCCCCAGCTCAGGTGAACAGGCCTCATAGGACAACTACTACATATGGCCACCTTGCCAAGAGTGGGAGAAGTAGCAAATCTATCTAATACATAGAAATAACATGGGGAGGCAGCCAAAAGGAGGAGAAAAAGAAACATACAGTGGTTTTGTGACATTCTTGTGAGTTAATAAACCTGTTGTCTTTATCATAACCTGCATGTCTTTTTCCATACAAACAATTTTAAATTGCCCACCCCTGTACAATAATGAAATTTTGTCATTTGCAGCAACATGGTTGGACCTAGGGGGTATTATGTGAAATAATTGAGACAGAGAAAGAAATACTATATTATTTCACTTATATGTGGAATCTAAAGAACAAAATAAACAGAAGCAAATTCATAGACACAGAAAAATTGATGGTCACCAGATAGGAGAGGGGCGGTTGCATGGGTGAAAAAACTAAAGGGAATAAGTATTGCCAGTTATAAAAAGTGTTAGGGATGTAAAACACAGCACAGGGAATACAGTCAGTAATACTGTAATGACTATGGTGTCAATAGACTTATTGGGGCGATCACTTTGTAAGTCATAAATGTCTAATCACTATGTTGTATACCTGAAACTAAAAATGTCACCTGTAATTGGACAATTAAAAAAAATTAAAAGTTCATGTACAGCTGTTCAAGGGTCAAATGTGTGTAAGAGAAAGATTCATTGTAATTTTATGAAGGAAAGAGAATTTTGACATCTTCTGCCTACTTTGACATTGACTTAAACTAAGAGAGTATCTAATTATTACATATCTTCATATCTTCATTCACTTTTATGGCCTTTTATACTCAAATGGAAAGGTTCCCCCCTCAATTTTGCTCCCTAATATGTGTAACAGATTTCTCATTTTCACCTGCCCACCCATCATGATCCCCTTTGATACTCACCTCTCCTTCTGTCTTAATCTGTCTGATTTCTCAATAAGAAGTCTTATTTGGTCCCACTTTCCTTCTGTTACAATTACTTTTATCTTTGTGGAACTATGTAAAGATTTTCAGAGACTGAAGTTATATACCTAAATCTAAAATTATTTCATTTATCCCTATGTTTTAAAACTTAATGATGTGTCTTTTTCTTAATTAGCAATTGCCACTTGAGCTCTTGGCTTGTAATCCCATTACCTCAGTGGTTCTCAACCTTCTGGCCCTTTAAATACAGTTCCTCATGTTGTGACCCAACCATAAAATTATTTTCATTGCTACTTCATAACTGTAATGTTGCTACTGTTATGAATCGTAATGTAAATATCTGATATGCAGGATGGTCTTAGGCAGCCCCTGTGAAAGAGTCATTTGACCGCCGAAGGGGTCGCGACCCACAGGTTGAGAACCGCTGCATTACCTACAATGGAGACACTGAACTCAGAGTGTTATAGAAGTGCACAGGCTGAAGCTGACAGAGGGAGGTGGTATGTCTCACCCCTAATTATTGAATTTTATGACAGTGACACTAGACGGGTTGTTTCACATGTCTAAGACAACAATTGAATATAAAATACTGTACCCTGTGTATAGACCTTCATTTCTCACCTTACTGACCTTTCTTTCTCCCACTTAATCTTTAGTTCACAGGCTTTGGCATATAGTATTTGGTACACTTCCAACTTCACTTGTTAACTAATCTTATTCTTCATTTTCCTTTGAGCAAAGGAGAAATGCGATGTCTTCACTTGCTGTGTTCATAGAATTTTGAATTAATTTTATCACAATGAAAAAAATCCAATCTTGCCCACCAAAGGTCTGGCATTCAGCTAACTCTACCTACATTATTCCCCAGACTCTTTACCTCTGGAATCCACCCTGTGAACACTGAAGTTGTCTGTAATTATCATGGATAGCTAGGCTCAGTTAATTTAAGTTACTTGCCCACGGTCACACATCTAACATGTGGCAAAGGCTGGACTTGTATCCACAGTCTTCTCGACACTAAAGCTTCATATTAGAGTAAGGTCCATGGCAGAATGTTACAGTAGTGGTAATGGATCTGTAACTTTGTCATGGACCTTGAGAACCACAAGGTTTTGCAGTGGTGCAAATGAGAATTCTCAGAAGACAAGAGTTGGGAATCCATTTAGCAGGGAAGGGAGGTGTGTACCAGACTGCTTATGGGAACAAATGAAGAAATTATTTGTACATAAGATTTTGGACTACATATCTGCCATGGAGCCAGTTGAAGACATTCAAACGTAGTAAGTAGGAGTAAAAGTGAGAATAGGCATATTTGTGCCACAGCAACATGATAAGGTACCAAAAAAAGCTCAGAAATATATCTCAGTTTCTAAGTTGTAGGCTGTCAGTAAAGCTTATGGGTGAGCCATAGGTCAGGGTGAAGTGGGAAAAGAAAAGAAAGGGGGGGAGAAGAAAATGCACAATAAATAGTTGGTTTCACAACTATTTCCAAGGAGCCTCAATAAAAATGTCTTCACCAGACACATCCCTGTTGATGTTTGGAAAAGCAGATAGCAGACAAATTCTTTAGAAAGCATACACTTTTCACTGAAGATAAAATTATTTTAAAAAAATATTAAGTACTTGAAGGTTTGAGATTTAAAGCAGATTAAGGTGGAGAATGGAGCGTGTTTTACCCCCTAACCATTGCGTTTAATTTCTCTTCGTTTGATACCCTTCTTCGTGGGTTTTACATTTTTATTTTCAAATGTATTCTTAATCGCCAAAGTAACACCTTACAAGATATTTTAAATGTAAGTATTTTAAACTTCTTTTAAAACATATGCTAAGAGTAATGGCCCTTTGTACCTTTAAGATCTTCCAAAAAAATTTGGCTGATGTGATAAAAATTATTTAAAAACATACGTTATTTGTAGATAGATAACTAGTGATGATTCATTAACTTATATATTTTTAAATTCTAAATTTTTCTACTTTATTTTAAATTAATCCAGGGGCCATGAAATCTACAGTGTTCACAGTTCTGCAGTCATTCATTCACCGTAGCTAGAGCAGAGCCAGATAGGGCATGGCCCAGGGTACTTGCTCTTTTTTACTTTCTAGTGCAACCATGTGCTTTATTATCATTTATTCATTTTGTTATAAGAAGCAAAATTCCTGATGTTAAAGGGGTGTTTGATTTCTTAAATCTGTCGTTAGCTAACGCTGAAAATTTCACAACCTATATTCTCTCTCTCAGTATAATGCATAAAGACCAAGTTCAGTATTTCATACGAAAAGTGAGATCAATTTTCTAGAGAGAAGCTTTTAATCTTTGTATATACTCTGACATGCCAGATTGTATTTAACAGCTGAGTTTCAGAGACAAGTACTAGGCATTTCTTCAAAGAACCTGACCAAATGCTGTAATCCATTTCCTTCTGAAATTGCAGCTGCTAAATTATACCCAAAACATTTATAAGTGTCACTTTGCCTTTCCAGCAATTAAGGAGCTCAAAAAATCCCTTTGTGATTCCTAGCTTTGAAATTATTGTATTTATCCTGAACTGGCCTTCCACTTTGCTCTATCAAATGTTACCGAGGAGGTTTAGGAGGTTATGTTAAAGAGGGAGGCATCAATTCTGAACAGGTGTGGAAAAACGATTTCTTTTGATGTACTAAAGTGTTCTATTTTAAAGGCATTTTAGCAATTTAACACATCAACTGTTGTGAATTCCCATGTAAGTAGGCGGCCAATTCATTTCCCTTGAAAGGGCAGAAAGTCTGAGTCAACATCAGAGCCCTAATGGTGGCAGCTTGACAGTCACTGCGTTTACAGAAACTCTCCCTTTGCTGTTTCAGTGTTGATCCTCCTGATCGTCACCATGAGGAGACGGAAAAAAGAGCCCCTCATTTTCGACGAAGAGAGAGATATCAGAGAGAATATCGTTCGCTACGATGATGAGGGTGGAGGAGAGGAAGACACGGAGGCTTTTGACATGGCAGCATTGAGAAACCTCAACGTCATCCGAGACACCAAGACCCGGAGGGACGTGACTCCAGAAATTCAGTTCTTGAGTCGACCGACTTTTAAAAGCATCCCAGATAATGTCATTTTTCGGGAATTTATTTGGGAGAGACTGAAGGAAGCCGACGTGGATCCCTGTGCGCCCCCTTATGACTCCCTGCAGACGTATGCGTTTGAAGGGAACGGTTCCGTGGCCGAGTCCCTCAGCTCCTTGGAGTCCATCAGCTCAAACTCTGATCAGAACTATGACTACCTGAGTGACTGGGGGCCCCGTTTCAAACGACTTGCGGACATGTATGGGACCGGCCAGGAGACTTTGTACTCCTAGCCTTGGAACTTTCCTTGGGAATGGACTGAAGACAAAGTCAAAGCAAAACAAACAAAAAAGACTACATAACACAAAACAAGAACTCCCCTTGCTAGAGAAATGGTTGTAAATATGTCTCCATTTTTAATGGTTTGGTTTCTACCTTGGTGAAGCGTACGGTCGTTCGATGGATCCAAGGACCACACTGACCACAGACTCTAAGCAGTTGAAGGCTTTTGATAAAAAGAAATGCTCAGTGATTTGTGAATAGATAGCAACTCTCAAATACCTGCAAAGGCACCTAACCTCTATGAGTAAGTAGTGCCCTGTGTTGTCAGTGAACCACGGATGCCCTGTGCACACCTTCATGGTACTGTCAGTGAGAACAACACGATGTGCCATTGAGAAGTTCTGCAACTTCTCGGATATACAAACATGGGACAAATTTAATTGATGGTGATGCTTTACGCTTGCTAGATTAGAGAATCCAGCAGAATTTTATTGCTCTGGTTTAGCAAATATATTTCATTTAGCAAAATATAAATTCTTAGAAAATTCTTTGCCAGTCCTCTAATACAAGCCAATGAAATTGGATTTAAGGCAACGTAAACCATTGTTTAGCAAATAAATATGAAGTGTTCCAAATAAGAAAAAGGTTAATCATTCTGAAAGTGTGCAACCGTTTTGAGATGCTTGTGTAGGTATAAAAAAAGTTGCTGTCTATTTGTTGATTTTTTTTATTACCTCTTCTGATTTTTACAGGAGAATATCTTTTCTTTTTTATCTGACACATGATCTTATATTAATTTTGGAGCTCCAATCTCCACCAAATTCAGGTCCATCTACTGCCTCATAATACTGAGCTCGTCAGAACATGCTGATTTTTCGCCAGTCACAGCTCCATGAAGGAAATGAAGCATGGAAATGGAGGAAAAAAAACAGAGCAATTGAGCATCTCAGAGAGGAGCACAGCTACAAGGACATATGAGTTATTGGTCTGAGTCATTGGAACGTACAAAACATTGGAATGAAATATTTGTATTTTAAAAAGATTTTAGAGAGAAGTGAGATTTCCTTTGATGTGAGATTTATTTTTCAAGGTCAAGAGTTCTATATGCTCCAAAGACTTTTGAGAATTTGTTTTACCCCACCTTCTTTTGCTGTAAGCATATAGAGCAAAAGACTGATTTTTAAAATATGTCTTAATGTCATGTGATAAACTTCAAAACCCATCTTTAAACTCCAGTGCAAATATGTTCTTCAAGAATAGACCTGGCAATGTATAATTTCTATACTGGTTTAGACGTGCCAAAGTGAGGAGAGTAATTTCAAGGGATCACGTGTGTTTAAGTTTGTGATGGGCTTCTTCAAAAAGAATAATTTTATGACTAAATATTTCTACCTATCATTAAACAACAGACTAGTTTAATGTGCATATATTCAAGTAAGAATGGATTTAGTTTCTTTTTTCCTTTTAGAAAGAGTTATTGTTGGGTTCCTAATAAATCTATAGATAATGGACACTGTATAAAAGATTATGTTCTAAAAGTGCTTCTTTCTGAAAGACAACTGCTGGAACTGGAACATCAACATTTTGATGACACTAGGAGAAACTGTGTAGGATTGTGTAAACTTGCAGCCCACCTTTAGAAATGAAGTATGTGAAAGTGGCCTTCAGCTTTATCAAAATCAGTAATTCAATAAATTTGATTATCCGTAAACAGTCCTTTCATTTGAATAAAGTTTTGTAGACATTGTTTCATGCCTAGATAGATATGCTTCTTGCTGTATTAATATACGTATATATGAAAAACCAATTTTATAACAGAGTAAAAGATCCCATTCATTACTTTTAGTCAATATGTAACTTTTTCAACAAAAAGCTAGTACATGTCTACCCTTTTCAATAAAATCACAGTGTGGTATAGGAATTAGGTAGGTGTTGAATCAGCAGGGTGCTGAGAAAACAGTTTTGTAATAACTCCCTTGTTGTCTGCAAGAAGATAAAATAGTTTAGTACATTTGGATGATGTCAAAACTGCTGATTGTTGCACATATCACTTAATGGAGATTTGAATGTATTTTAGAAAAGGAATATCGCATTATTCACCTTACTTTCTTTCCTTTTAAAGAATATATTTTCTTGGTTTTTAATTTTTTTCATATTTGCCAGTAATATATTGGGAAAAGACTAAAATTTAAATAAAGATTTAAAATTCTTGCATATACCCAATTGCCATTTTATGTGTGAAAGATTATATCAATGCAGTATTGAACTCAATTGAGTGGTATTTTTAAAAAATGTTTGACATGACTGAAAAAATGATAAAATTTCTATGAAGTTCTCTAGCTAAATTTAATTATTATGAAGGTGACTGTATTTTAGTGTCCTTTTTTTTTCAGAAATCTGACACTGTATATGATTATCTGGTATAATAGTTGAGAGATGGGCTATGTTTTAAAACCACAGACTAGAACAGATGACCGATTTAAAAAATCAATTTTAAAACAAGTCAGGAGCTTCTCCAAAAACATTTAAATAAATACCTATTATCTAGCCAATAAAATTCCGTGGTGTACTAGAACCAGCTAGAACCAACTCCCAAGAACCAATGATGTCATCTCTTCCCAACTCCACTTCTAGTGACACCATTTTGGTAGGTTGAAGTGGTCATATTTAGACCACTATGGAAATCAGCAAACACCATCTGTTTTCTTTGGGAGAACCAGTTGTTAAATTTTCGCCAACACTCCACTGATTAAGTTATTTTATAAAAGGAACTTTTATGATTATAAATGCAATATGAATGAATAGACTATCAAATAGTAACATGAAGGAATTTTTGCTCTATCCTACTTCTTAATATAAATGCATGTGCTAATTATTTCCTGGTAGCAAATTCTTGGAGCTACAAGAAAAAATGAAGAGGGTCCATTTCAATATGAAAGTGATGGCTTAATAATTTCAAGTGCAGATAACAGTTCAGAAAGTCAATAAATTTACATATTTCTATTTGTCCATGTGGGGCCATCAATAGAAACTTAAGGTGCCCAAAGTAATGCGGGTTTTTGAATGATTTAACTTCTTAAAAAAGTATTTCCATTTCACCTGTTACTATCCATGTCAAGGAAATATGTCCAAGTGTTACTGTTGTAATGAGCTACTTATTAACTAGAGGCCTGATGCATGATATTTATGCAAGAGTAGGCCTTCGCAGCCACGGCAGCTGCTGCCTGGCTTCGTGCGGAAGGTCGGAAGGACATCCGGAAGGATGTCTGGTCTAATTAGCATATTATGCTTGTATTATTATAGATAGGAAGAAGGCAAAGGGAAGGCCAGATATTATAAACATAGTCACATGGGCAGCTTCACCAGGAAGCTGCAATATCACACTTCCAAGGGAACCACTGGTCTATTCCCTGCAAATCACTAGGGGAAGGGACTGGACAAAGGGGAAGATGAGCACCTGTGCAGTGAAGTAGAGGTGAGACAGGAAGGTGTCTGTCAATCAGCCCTGGGAACAGATCATTGGCTAGAGGAGCGGAGGCAATGCAAGCCTGCAACCATTTGAGAATATATAATCCCCAAACAAATGAATTCTCTCTCTCCTGTTCCTTTGGCTTTGCTCCTGCTTTCTTGCACTCATCTGTATTCCCTCCATAGCCATGTGGCCCTAGAAGCCACAGGGCCCATGGCCATGCAGACCCCACACACAATGGAGTATAGATGGGAACACAAAATAAGCCAGCCTCATGCTGGATTGGACTGTGCAAATATGGAACTGAAACTCTGGGCACTGGCTTTAATTCTAGCTCTGCTGAAGACACAGCTGAACTCCCACGGCAGGACTGAGAGAGAGGACCTTGGAAACAGGAATTTAATTCCACACAATAAATGCCACTCATTCTCCCATGCGAGTCTCAGAAAATTCCTTTTCTCATGACATCGCAAGAAGCCCACTTCCACCAGCAACCGGTGGGGACACAGAAGACACCCCACCAACAACAGAAGCTCCCTTTCTAAACTGTTATCTTTACATAATTTTAAGCCAGCATAACGAATAGAAAAACTAAATTTTACCAAGAAAGGGGACTTCCACAGATCAAGCCTAAATTATCATTCTGGATTCACAAAGCAATTCTCCAAGTTCATCTGGAGACTAAAATTAGGAGGGAGATAATCAGAAAAGGTGAGCTATATGGAGACAATGAGTAGACAGGGTACCTCGATGAACCCTGGAAACTTTCCTTTGATATGAAGCTCAGCTTGAGGCTGACTGCAGTTGTGGTGAGATAACTACAAGACAGGCAGGCAGTAATAACGTTTCAGTAATGATAGCTGCCTTTTCATGCTTTTTCACTCTGCCCTCTGAGAATGTTTTAAATTATTTTAACTTCATGCACAATTACATTTACTACACTGGATGATGAGCAGGCTTCAGCAATTATTCTCACGTAAGTGGTGTAGTTATACCAGGTATGAGTGATAGTTGTGCAATGGCCCACATGCTCAAAGAATCTTACATGCAAATAGACTTAGTTAGCATTACACTCAAATGTAAAATCTAAAGAAGCCAAAAATAAGTTAAGGTAAATATATTGCAGTTGGCAAAAACCATCTAGTTTAAATATTTTAGTTTATAACCACTAGTTGTAAATAATCTTCAAATTTTCAATTTTACTATGAGATCTATGGACTTACAATCTGTCTTTGTTACCCTAATTGTTTCTGAAACAATATTTAAAGGTTTAATTATGGTTGATCTAATTAAATTTGAATGAAAGAAAGCTTTAACTTTTAACTATTTTGGGTTACATGCAATGTAAATGACAATAGATAAAGAATCTTACTTTCTGTAAGTCTGTGGTGTTTATTTGATCTTAAATATATAGTAAATTAAAGTTATTGATAACAATGTATATTGTGTGTGTGTATATATATATACACACATACATATATATGATGATGATGATGATGATGTCTGAAAGTTTGGCAAGGGAAACATACAATTTTAGCTGACTAATCATCATCATAATCAAAAGAGCAAGAAAGTTGTAACAGCATTCACCTTCTG